TTCATAATATGCCAAAAACACCATCAATTTTGACCTTGTGGCCCCAACTGCTATGGCGTTTATTGAACCAGGCAGCGATGCCTCCACAATATGCCGGTCAGTTTTTCTTCTAGCTCTCATATTTGTTGCTCAAATAGCTAACGAGCATATTAGACATTTAATTTATTGTAGAAATACATATACATTCCATAATGATGTAGATATAGCCGCAGTTATTTTGATGTAGTGCACTTCAAATTATAAATCAAATGGAAGCAAAACGGCAAAATACCCTGTATGCAGTAGCTGATGAGCTATTGATAACTAACTAAGCACACCTAGGGTATCTTTATCCTTATCCTTGTACTTAGATCAGAAAAGTTGTGCGTATATATTCATCAGTCTGTTGGTTTTATATACCCCTTTTAGCCATTTAATGGCCACAGCGACTGCATCATATGTTTGCCAGACTTTTAGCAAACATTAGCAAATTTGTATTTTTGGCAAATTAAAATCCAAACGAATCTGTAAAAGCTAATTCTTATATCAAGTCTTTCTATACGCTTTTAAAGGCATTATAATTTTGTCATGATATGTGTAATGCATAGAAGGAGATGTCACCGACACAATAAAGCATATATATATATATATATATATATATATATGTATATATTGTAGATCAGCATCAACAGCCGAGTTGATATTGGCATGTCCTTCTGTCAGTCTGTCTTTTCTATGCGAACTAGTCTCTCAATTCCATAGAGTTATCGTCTTGCAACGTTGCATAGATTATTCTGTCTGAATCGGAGCCCACTATATCATATAGCTGATATAGGAAAGATCAGTCGAAAAATAGGTTATTTTTTGTTTATCAAGTTATCATAAACCTACCATAGGAACGATCTGTCGAAAAGTGTTTTCATGTATTCTCTAATACAAGGGTATTAGATCTTCGGCGTGCCGAAACTGACTTTACTGTCTCGCTTTTTTTTTCAATATTTAAGAGAAATTTAAAATAAGTTTGAATATTTTCATAACCCATTAAAAGGCAGCACTTGAATAAACACAAACATCAAATATTTAGTTTTTTTTTTTTTCAGTAAACTAACGATTCACACATCTCACATACGATTCAGAGTGCATAATTATATAAAATTGAAATTTTTGTGAAATGATTTATTGACATAAACTACTTTAGTTGCAATTACATGCATAGCTCGTGTCGAAATCAAGTCACACAAAGCCAATTCATAAGCCGCTTAGTTGGCGTCAACTGCACAATCGCCTGATCACAGAAATGAAATTGGCTCCACAACAAAAGCCGCGCCACAAATTAAATTCGTGCGATTGAATGGCCAAAGACTTATGTGCACTAATCAAGTTGACAAATGTGCGCTCCATATAAATATTACAATGGCCTGCCCACCAAATAAACTGAGACCTGAGTACCCAAAGGTGTCACTACTCTGCATTCGCTGTGAATGCCAAATGAGCCAATAAAAAGCAAACAAAGAACAGAATTAAAATCAATTGCATGATAATAAACATTAAAAAGAAAGAGAGAGACAGACACTATGATATAATATTCATAGAATACAGAAGCGTATATTACGCTAGGTTTTTTACCCCAACTATGCAAAGACTCTAAACAAAGGTGTCACTACTCTGCAATCGCTGTGAATGGCAAATGAGCCAATAAAAAGGAAACAAAGAACAGAATAAACAGCAATTACATGACAATTAACCTGAAAGAGAGAGAAAGGAAGAGAAGGAGAGGCAAACAATGTGTCATAATATTCACAGAAAAGGTAGAATTGTTGTACCCTATCTTGGCTGAGACTGTACCAAAAGCATGGCTTTAGCCCATTCACTGTGAATGGCAAAACAAAAAGAGAGTGTAAAGCAATTACGACATGACAGTAACGACAAAAGCGAAACAGAACTGAAAAAGTCAGTACATATATAAATAGTATGTTAATCATAGAGCATTACAATCGAAATAGGACTTTTTATAGGGGAAACGATGCAATTTCGTCTAATTGTTGAACTGCATTAGAGGCAATTATGCAGCAGCACATTAACGAGCAAATGAATTCGTTTCGTGTCGCATATCTCGTATATCTCCACCAATTCCATAGAGCTTGTCATTAGAGTAATTGTACAGTATAAAAAAAAAAAAGGAAAACCAAAGAAAGAAAAACATGATACAATATTCGTATGCATTTGGGGCAAATACTAAATTTGATTTACTGAGCCAGTTTGGCTCCAAATTGGGCACGCGACTTGTCGTCTGTTCAGACATTTATATATATATATATATATATATTCATATATGGCTGTAGGCCGGGCCCATAAGTTGCATTTGGTGTGGCCAAGATTTCAATCTATGCTGCCTAATGAAACGGCAAAGTGAGACCGAGCGGCAAACTGTACGGCAATTTATGTGTTTCTTTGGGGTTGATTTTTTTTTTTTTTAATTTACAGAAGCAGTGCACATTTTGTAGGGTGGCTCCAGATAGAGCCGGAAAGTATTATCTCTGATGGAAAAATAGTTAGGGCGAGCTGAAATACAAAGGAACTGCGTTTAGCTTAGAGACTTACAAAACTGATAAAATATATTTAAAGCTTACGCTTTTAAGCTTTCGCAGAAGCTTAAAGTTTTCATTTTCAAACCTCAAGTCTCAGTGTTTATTTGCTTAAACCACTCTTTCGTTTTGAGGATTAAAAACAAAAATTAGACGGAGCTTTAGGAGTTTTAGCTGTAGAATATTAAAGCTTGAGTTCTTTATTCAAATGCTATTAAATTGAATAGACTTTGACGTCTAAATGTTTATTAGCTTGAACCACTGTTTCGTTGTAGCTTAGAGGCTTTAAAATCAAAAATAAAACTGAGCTTTAACGTCTTCAAAATTTGAATCTTTTTACTTTCAGAACAAGAAACAAAATATTAAAATGCGCTGTAAGAGTGCTTAAAGCTCTTTAAATTCAGAACATGAAGCTTTTTATACTCAGGGGCTTAAATAAAAGCTCGCAGCAAATTATTTTATGTTTGTAATGTAATCTTTAAATCGCTCAGAACATGTCCAATACACTTCAAATAAAACAGTTTATTATAAATGTATGTCACTTGATTAATCAACAATTGTCATTTGTCATCTTATTTTAAGCAGACCATTTGGAACAGCCTTGTCTGAATCTTGACGCATTCAATCAGCCGAAGGCCGTCAATCAACAAACACTTATTCGCCCACCAAGTACCACAAAAATAAACCTTTTATGGTGACCAAATTAAACTGAAAATTGGAGCAAATACAAAAAACATTTGGCCACTTGCTACATGCGAATACGGAGGCAACTAATTCGAAAATCTGTGCCCTTTTTACGTGGCCAATTTGAATGTCACGAAATTGAAAAGCGTTTGGTAAATTGGGCACTGACAGAAGAGGGCTACCGTTGCACAGTGGTCACATTCAATATATTTTGGTATGAAACATGTTAGTTGAGCTGAAAATGCTTTTGTAAAGTAAAGTTGTCTTAGTCTAACTAAAGAGAATAAACAAAACTTGGTTGGGTATATAAGCCAATCTGAGAGATCGATCGGATGAGACCTTCGCAATCCCCTCCAATTCCACAAAGAGACAGCTAGAAGACAGCTGGTAAGTTAATTATGATAATATAATTCTGTATATAAGTATATTAACACGCGTAGGTCTCTTTCCAAATCGGATTCGGATCGCATTTAATTAATGGAGAAGATTTGAAGTATTAAAAAACATTCAAGATTTCTTTATTTAAGTACAATGAGAAATTCTACACAATTATCATCAAAGAAATGTTTGCATAATTTACGTGTTCCAATCAAAAATATAATATTAATGAAACGAAAAATATTCTTGGTTTGCTCCAATATTTAATTGAGAAATATTTACGCAATTAAAACAAGTCTTTCAATACCCATTTTTGGCCAACTTTTTGCTATGCCGTCCCACTGTGCAGCAATAAAAAGACTCGACAAATTTCTACAGCTATTGGTTTTGTTATTGTTGTTGCTGGACACAATTGCACGTGTACTGGGTTTGTAGTTTGTGGTATTTGGTTGGGTTTGGACCGTGTTTTTTTTTTTTTTTTGGGTTTTTCGCTTTTCGTTACGAAGAGCATGAAAATAGTTGGAGCCGTGACGCAGTCGCAATCCGCAGTGTGAACCAAATTGAGGTTATTCCACACAAGCGCAAACGAGCAGCCAGATGAGTTAACATTTTAAGCCAGGTCTGCAAAGTGTGTATAGTGTGTGTGTGTGTGTGTGTGTGTGTGTGTGTGTGTGTGTGTGTGTGTGTGTGTGTGAAGTGTGTGTGCATTGGAGTTGTGACTCATGTGAGTTCATTCATTGTTGTCGCGTCAGCTGAAAACTTTTAGCGCATTCGCTTAGCTCACAGCATGGCAAATGAGCTGCGGATCATGTAAGTCGTGAAATAATACGCTGTGGCAATTCTCGACCAACTATTTATGCAATTGCAACTTGGTTTGACAGGAAAGTTGACTACAAGTAGAAGTATGAGAGTTAATTCTAAATCTCGTTAGGGAAGTATAGCAAAGCTTTTAACTGCAGCTCGAACGAGAAAGTAGAGATATCTTCGACATACCGAAGATTTAATACCCTTACAGACATTTGTCCAAAGGTTTTACAAATATTTGAGCATAGTGAAACTCGTAAAGGAGTTTGAAAAACAGAGTATTTTTCACATATCTTCACATATTTTTCACATATCTGCTCCGATTTTATTAAGATTTTGCAAATATATGAAAAGCAAAGTGAAATTGTTCGAGATATTCGAACATATCGAAATTCCTAACTGTGGAGCTTGTGCAAGACATCTTGCAAAACCAACTAGTTTCTCATGCAATAAATACAATTTCTACCTATCCTTCCTATCGCAGCTTTATAATAGAGTTCGAAACGGGCTGATTTTCTCACATAAGCCGAAAGAACAAAACATATACAAAAGTAAAGCCATAGAAAGTAATTCATTTTTGGTATTTGGCTCTGTAATTGCTTCTATAGAAAAATAGTTGGTAACTACTCAAAAATTTGTAAGCATAACTTAACAAATTATTAAACAATTTAAAAAACGTTGAAAACATTTTAAACTAGCAACTGAAAACGTTTGAAACAGCTAACAAATAAATATTTAAATATTTCAGACTATTTGTCACCCCTTATACGCTGAGCTAGCCACAGATCCTTGGGCATAAGGGTCTTTCGCTGGCCATGCAGCGCACACAGATTGGACTCCTCGAACAGACCAACCAGATAGGCCTCGGCAGCCTCCTGCATGGCAGCCAGAGCCGCCGGCTGGATGCGCATTCGACAGCCAAACGCTTGGCTTATTTCACGCACCAAACGCTGAAAGGGCTGCTTATGTATGAGCAGATCCGAGGACCTCTGATAGCGACGTATCTCACGCAGCACAACTGCACCGGGTCGATAGCGATGGGGTTTCCTCAACTCGGGGAAACCGATGCCAGGGGCTGTCGTCTTGCGGGTCACCTTCGGTGCCAGCGGCTTGCGTGGCGTCTTGCCAATAATTTGTAGATGAGGGGTTTGCTTAATGCGCGGCATTTTGAGCCGATTTTAAGACTTTTGACTGAAATAATATTACACTGAATATAAAGTTTAACTAGGCCAACTATTCTTACAATTTGCTAAGTCTATTGTGCCTTGTAAAAGACTCTAAAATAGTTTTCAAATTGAACCGCATCGTAAACAACATTTCTACTGCTTGAACTTTAAGCTCTTAAAGAAGCTAAAGACTTTCAACTCATATACTTGACTTGGCGTTTAAACAGATCTTGGAATATTTGCCAAACTATTTTGATAAAGGAAAATCATGTTTGCAACCAAAACATGGATAAAGGGATTGTTCCCAGTTCCTTTAAGCCGTAAACAATTATATTTACACTGGAAAAGGTCAGGCATAATTTCATATTTCTGAAACTAGCCTTCATTTGCGAAAAAGAGAGATGTTGGCCTGATTTTAAATTCCAATTTTCACTCTACTAGATATGATCGCCGGAGTAGAAAGAAGGGAATGGGTAGACTCATATTTATTTTCTAGAGCAATCCTTCAATCGATACGCAGTCGAAAGCCTCCTTAACGTCTACAAAGACCACATATCATTCGATTTTGTTGTCATAAGCCTTAATGATATGGTTTAGCACCCTAAGTACTTCGACTGAGCAGGGAAAAGAATTGAGTAGCATTAAGATTTGCTCAAACTAAGAAAAGAATATATATTTTTTTATAAATGTTCATTATAACAATACAGTTGGCCTGGTTGGGTCCCCAGGCTTTACGAAATAATATTCAGAATATTGAGTACATGCTCAAAGAGAAATACTCAAATACTTTTCTTAAAAAATGCACGCTCGAAAAAATATGAAAGTGGAAAAACAATACTGCTTTTTTTTTTTGGTTTGTTTTCTTAAGTTTAATGTCAACTAAATGAATTGTAATTTTTGTTTTTATTGAAAGCAAGTGCTTGTAATAGTTGCAGTTGTTGTTGTTGTTTTAGTTGTTGCTGCTGCTGCTGCTGCAGTTAAAGTTGTTGTTAAATGAAAGCAAAAGTAGGCGCTGCCACAGCACTTTTACTTTCCAGCTGAGCTCTGAGATGGCATCGCTTGGCATCTCTCCCAGACACATTTTCATGGCTAATTTTCACAGCGGCAGACAAAAAAAAAAAAACAAAGAGAAAGAAAGAAAACAAGTTTTTCCGCAGACTCAGCCACATTTAAATGTGTTAATGCCAGAGAGCGGGTGAGCTGCCAGTGAGAGGCGACAAGTTGTTGCGGTTGACGTGGGCGGCAGCTGATCATTATATAATTCAATTCAGGCTTGACTTTCATTTATGTTCCACTCAATTGGGTGATATCGCCCATCGCCATCGATATAACGTATTTGGCATATAATTACATTTATTTTGATGCCAAGCTGTTTCTCTTTTAGAAATTTTCCCAGACTTTGCGGCTCTTTCACATGACAAACAATAATTTGGACCTTAAAAAAAATTGTCAATAACCTATGGAATATATATATATAAATTATATATATATATATACATTTTGTCTGCTTTTTTTGACTTTTTTTATTGGTTTTATTTTTTAGGGTCATCGCAAATTCGCTTTTCCTCTTCTGTTGTTGCTGCACACGCTCATTTGTCATTGGCAATGCGAATATTAAGGTTTAAACAAAAGTAAAATATAAACAAAAATATTTACATGTATACGTAAAGGGCATATATATGCTTGTGGGGCAGACATATATTTAGCTTAAATTTGAATCTTTACCTCGAGAGTTCAAGGTTTGTAGAAGTAATTGATTAGCAATGGAGCGTTAACTTTTAACTCAAATAATATGCCCCATAAAAAACTTAAAGCTGTTTGCAAAAATGTATGCTGTTTGGAGTGAAAGGTCTTAATGGAACTCAAGACTTGCTATTAATATACTCGTATAAGCTGAAAGCTACAAATAATATGAAACAAGTAAGAGGTTCTAGTCGGGAGCTTCCGACTGGGGAATACCCTGAACCCTATTCTCCCAACATCAAATGCATATATATATATTCTATTTTAGAAGCTACTTATATGTCAAGTTTGGTGACTCTAGCTTTTATTATTTACCAAAATTGCTCAAAAAACAGGATATCTATATAGATTTTTATCGATTGCTTGGAAATGGAGTAAGTTATCGATAATCGGTAACAAACTCGATCTGCACAGGCACTAGGAGCACCTACATCTAAAAGTCTTTAGCTCTTATAGGTTCTGAGATCCTTTCGTTAATACGGGCATGGCTAGATCGACTCAGCTATTGATGCTGATCAAGAATATATATATATTTTTAATATATATATATATACCCATTTTTAATGGGTTCAGGGCATAAAAATTAGCGGCTGATAAACACAAGAGTTCTCCAATTGAGACGCATCCAATGCAAAATTTCATTCTTCAATAACTTCGGTGATGAGCTTTAAGTTAGTATTCGAATGTGTGTATATGCCCAAAATTATTTAGGAATTGTTTTAAAAACTAATTTTATTGTTCATCTCAAAATAAATGTTAAGGGAATGGAATGGAAATACATGCAATAATCTTTGTTTATGATATACTACAGTATATGTTAATAATTTAATATAAGCAACAACATAAACAATTTACTAACTTCCTAGAACTTGTATTGAAAATAGCTGATTTGTATTTACAAAATATTCCTGGTTCGAAAAGTCAGCTAAGAGAAAGAAAAAAATTAAATTGAAAGTGCGCAGTTAATGTGCATAAAAAAATAACAATAAATTAACAATTTAATTAGCATTTCGAGAATTTAATATGGCTTTCGAATGATATAGTGAATACATCCGACGATCTGTGTAATGCGCAATCTCGAGTAAAGACAAATGATATGGCGAGACGCTGCTAATTGATAATAAAAAGTTAACCAAATGTTGAATGCCATATAGTATACCTACTCATATATATACATTTATTAAATAATCGCAAATGCATAATAAATTGTGTGGGTTTTGCCCCGCCGGACCACTGGACCAACTGTTTTGCCTGACTTCTGTGGCTAGCACGAATATAAAAACTGGTTTTATGTCGAGATAGAAAGAAATTCATGGGAACTCTACATGCCAGGTGTTTGTGTATGTTGAATTCGGGGAACTTCTCTGCCCAAAGGGCAAACACAAACAATAAACAAATCAAAAAAATAATATATATACAAAATTTGAAGTACATTTACACAGTTTAGAATATTCTGTGGCCAATTACTTGCGGCGCATAGGGAATGTGATTTACTATGCAAAATAGGTGCACGTGTTGCGCCTACGGAAAACTAAGTGTTCAGAGTCGGCCATAATGGATACGAGCGCGTGCACTGTGAGAAAAGAATGTCAACTTAAGCAAAACACTTTTTTTAGTTATATTTAGTTTGTGAACAACTTTTTGTATCAATCTCTGTACTTCTGCAGAGAATATGTGATAAGATCAAGAGTTTTTTGTACATTAAATAAAAAGAAAAAGAACAAAGTTCTAGTAGAGAGTAAGAGTATATACAATAAGTTGTATGCGTAAAGAAGTATAAGTACAAGTAAAAGTAGAAAACATGTTCAGATATAAGCAAGAGTATTAGTAGAAAGCATAAGAAGTATAAGAAGATAAACTAATATAATATAAGTAGTGTAGAGATATAAGTAGTATTTAGGTGGTGTAGTATACGCAGAAAGAAACTACAAGAAAGTACAAGAACGTATACGTAAAAAAAAGTTATATGCCTCGAAAAAACAAGTATAAGTAGTAGCAGGATATATATTGAGTTATAAGTTGTATATAAGTAGTGTAAGTATAAGTAGAACATATAGTATAAGCAATTGTTAAAAATATAAGTAGTCGTAGTATAGACAGTATAAGAAGGGAAGAACTGTCAATATGAAAGATATTGCCCTGAAATATATTTTGTAGTCAGTATAAGAGTAACAAGTAGTATAAGAAGTATAAGTAGTAGTAAAAGGTATAATTATAAGATATAAATATAATATAATATGAAAGATATTACTACGAAGTATATTTAGAAGTTAGTATAAGAGTAACAAGTAGTATAAGCAATATAGATATAAAAGGTGCTACTCCGAGGAAAGAGTAATACATTTTTTTTTGTGGTAATACTGTAATATTCCGAACAGAAGTATTGACAGTTATACATATTAAATAGGTGAAAGTTCGTGCACTTTATGGGCTCAATAAAATAAGATAGATTTTAGGAAATGCAATAATATAACCCGGCTCTTGCATGTAACCAGAGCAACAAAAATCATAAATAAATATATTTTGAGAAAAAAAATAAACAATTAAAAAAACACGTATTGTACATAACAACTTGGAGATTACTTTTCTACAAATAACTAATAGATATAAGAACTAGATGTGTATGGGACACTTTGCCTACTTGCCAACAAAAAAAAAAAGAGGTGAACCCAAGCATTTACATATATTTTCTGTCAGTGTAAGCCGCATCGCCTACCACTCACAGCGAGTGTTTACAACAAATGTTGTTTATTTTTGTTGAACAAAAAATTGCAAGCCATATTGCACTGACAGCGGCTGACAATGGGCATAGGTTGTGTATCTTAGGGATGCATAAAAGAACTGCAGCTAAAAACGCAAAGTATCTGTGAGTGCAAAGCATAAACAAACAACACTTGTGTGTGTGTGTGTTGATGTGTGTGTGTGGGCTGCCCTCAATGGCCGTATGTGAAAGGTAAACAGAAACAGTTTTTGTTAAATGCATTTTTATGCCAGCAGCTGCGGCTAAACACACACACACACACACACTCAGAAATATGGCGACATATGTGTACAGGTAAACACAAAGCCAAAACAAATGGGTTTTGGGCCAAAAGCTGGTTACCAACTCGAAAGAAACAAAAACATAAAACTAGGCCCCAAAACAACAATTTCCTGCTTTTTGTGGCGCAAAGGGGCCAGGCACAATGGGTTACAGTTCAGGGCCGATTGGAGCAGAGAGAACCAATGCTAGAGCAAGATGTAACTCACGCACACACACACACACACACACACACACAGCACATAATTCAATTAAGTTCAATCAGCGCAATGTGCCGAATAATAATAGAGCCAACAAAAAGCATTCTCAGAATTTAATTAATTTCAAGCACTCCACAATAGAAACTGAAAGACTAGTTGGACTTACATAAAAATTACAATATATATATACTAGATATTGATATATGTACATATGTGCATTGTGCAATGCCAGGTGACGTGCATGAAATACCCTGTTGTGGAAGAATTTTAGCTTAATATATTCAACGAATTCGATGTTTAGCGGCTGCTTCTTAACTCAACATAATGTGACCATGGAGGACGCCGTTTGGACAGCTACCTGGGCTTAGACTGGCAGCTACAAAAGAAACCATAATCTTTACTTTATTGGAGTACGAATTGAGTTACCTTTAAAAGCGTGTCATTATTAAGTTTGATTCTAATTTCTATACTTGCATCAAGTTCTCCATGGTCAATTTTATTCGAATGCGGAAAAGCTTGCCACACGACGTAAGAAGATGCCGGGCATAATGTAAAGAAAACAAATTGGCATTGCATAGAAACTGCAAATGGAAACTGAAAGAAAACATTGAATGTTCTATACCGAATTATTCGCTGTCTCACTTGCACCCAAAAAGTTGCTTCCTACGAAAAGCTAAACGT